GTTTAAATTTGGAGTCTGATCCCATTTGTCTACTTTAGCGATAAAATTATTCAACTGTTACATATAACTAAAAGTAAAAATAAGTTTTTTATTGGTGGAAATCACGATAACCACACAGGTACATCCTCATGAAACAATATTTACTATAACTGTTAACACGTTCAGTGCGGCGCGATCACAATGTGGTGACGCTTTGCTAGTTTTTCCAATCTCCAGAATGCATGGCCTTACTGAATGTATTACCCTCCCAACTAATAGAGGGGAGGACTAATCAAATGAAAGCTCTTAATTGAGCTTTATTGGTCTGACCAAGGTCGATAACAGACGTAGCTAAGGTACAGGTACATTTTCCTCTATACATTTAGATCAAATCAGAGACCAGTAGAAATTTTCAATTTTTCTGGAACAACTCAAAATGTGGAATTAATCCGATGGGGTCAGAGACTGTAACAGATATAGTCCAGATCAAGATATGAGCAAAATTTTGCCTGGAAATGTGGTCTCTTCGACCAATATTGTCATGTAGTATATTTGGGGAGCGCGAAGTTGTACCCTTACCCATTAAATTTAGACCAAAGCGCGGACTGAAGACTAGAAGGGCAAGTGCTCACTAACAGAATTGAAGTATTTTGTGGCCGCGTCCTTATTAGAGTGGTTACACAAAAAGTCTTACGAAATGAGATGAAATCGGAGAAAAAATAGCAACGGTATACAGAGCGATTCTCATTCAGCAAGACATCCGGTATCGAATCATTATTGTGACGCCTTCATATCACCGCGTTCACGAACTCACTTCATATTAGCATGGCAGTGCATGGCGGCCTCTGCCCTTAAATATCACGTCCGTCTGCAGCTCCGGCACGCCCCCGGGCTCCTTCACTGAGTCTTGCTCTTGGGCTCCGCGTCCACGCTGGCGCAGGGCGTCTCCTTGTGCGGCACCTCGGCGTGCTGCTGGGGGCGTCGGTCGTCGGGGAACAGGTAGGAGAACTCGGAGCGCTTGCTGGCGTAGTCCTCGAACTCGCCTGGGGGAGACGGACAGAGACAGCGTGTCATACAGTGGAGAGGAGTCACCCGAGGAGGAGGAGGAGGGAGGGGTCCTTTACTTTGAAAACATGCGTGCTCAGGTTTTTCTGTATTGGCTTGGTTCTGATTTTCCGGTGTTTTTATTTTGATTTGTTAGCAGATGATACCTTACAACCTTACACTTACATATCTAAACATAACTATACATGAGTGATGTAAGGTGCCATTGCTTTAACTCTCGATTATTTAGAGGGTGTATACACTGATATTCGAAACAAACATGCCTGCCATATAGCCACACAATCAAGGGTCCGCTCAGTGCTAGAAGGGGAGCCCTCTGGTAGTCTTGGGGACTGTCTCATAAAAAGTTGGGGTCCCCCTGCACTGCACCATACCACGCCACCTCAGTGCGGCTGGCTGCGGCACCTGTTGCCGTCCTCCCTCAAGTAGGGGGGTGGTGGTGCCCAGTAGCGCCCAGTGGCGCCCCACGAGGGGCAGTGGGGCATTCGAGGACACGAGCACCGGGAGCCCGCGGGGCACGGCACGACGAACCACCGGGCCCGGCCATCGCCAATTACTCATCAAATATCGAAAGGGTCGTCGCGGGTCGGCTTATTATTGATTATTGGCGGCACGGCCGGCGCCAGCCCACAGGAGGGCCTGCCTGCGCGGCGGTGCGGCACTCACCGAAGGTGATGTGGCCCTTGTGCTGCAGGTCCACGTGCCTGAAGACGTCGTAGCCGTCCTCCCACGTCATGTTCACCGAGTTGTGCAGCGCCTCGGCAGTCTCCTGCACCCCGAGGCGGCCCACCCCGCTCCGGTCGTAGATCTGGAACACGCCGCCCAGAAGGACACAGTGAGGAACAGAGGACATCGAAACGATATCGTGCCGACATCGGGCAAAATTGACATCGTTCCGATATCGTTTTGACCCACGTGTAGCGTAATATATAGAGAAAATTGAGTCTGCACACACAAATGTGGAGTGGTTACTCCCACGGTTTTGACAAAGAAACGGGGAGAAGATTGAAAAAGAAAATCAAGGCTTATAGCGTAGAGCCGCGTGGGCGTTTGATGGCGTTACCTGGAAGGCGAGCTGCACCATCTCCAGCGAGCTGACCGCCTTGGATATCACGAGAACGCACAGCAGGTACTCCCGGAGATCGATCACGCCCGCCCCGTCCTGCAAAGATTATGGGCATCTTCAGTCAAAACAAAAACTGACACAAACCATGACATTCTACTTTAATGAGCGCTGGAACTGGCTGTTAATGGTTTCGTATCATTGAATCATTTCTCAGTTCTGGCCGTAGCTGTTCGTGTCGGATGGCTTGCCTATCCGCACGGCGCATACCTTCTCGTAGAGCTGGAATAGGAGCTGGGTGGCGGGGTCCTTGACGTCCACGCACAGGCAGTCGGCGAACTGGGCCAGCGAGACGGCGCTCCAGTCCAGGGCGAGCGGGCCGTGGGGCCTCTCGGACACCAGGCGGTCCTCGGCACAACTCTCGTTGAGACTGGCAAGGGCACGCGTGAGTTTCTTAAGCACTATCTACCGTCTATAGATGGTGGTATACCACCTAGGTCTGCAAAAGAGCCGCCCCCTCACCCGAGTTTGGTGCGCAGCTTTTGAACTTCTAAGAGGTTGGTCGTGTGTGGTAGCCTCATCTGCTTTACCCTGGAGAGCAACCGGCAGTCGTTGTAGGTGTAGTCGGACACGGGCACGTCCAGAGCTCTGCAAAGAGAGGCCAGAGACAGGACTCCGTCAGTAGTACACGAGGACGCAGCGCAGCCTCCGGTCGGAAGGACAGGACAATCACTGAACACGAACACTCACTTTGCCATGATCTGCCGCACGTTCTGTGCGTACAGCTTGGGGTTCTTCTTCTCCTCCTCGCTTGGCCTGTACACAGGGAGGAACTCGATCTCGCAGCTACTGTGCGACTGTGTCAGCGTCATCCAGAGGAGCTTCAGCCTGCGGCAGCAGCAGCGCACACATTTCGTTATCTCGTACAAATGTCGTAATTTCCGATAATTTCATAATAAGAGTGCAAGTGCAACGCAGACCACTACTTACGCGCCAGGGCCCTCCCAGGTCCACGTGACCGTGTCCAGCTTGTTGGGGTAGCGGATGCACACGGGTTGGACCGGCACGCCGGGGTAGAAGGCGCCGTGCTTGAACGTGATGAGACACGAGCGGTTAGTGCACGTGCCCTCGGGGAAGATGAGGACCTAGAGGGAGAGGAGACGCCATTAGTAACATGAGGTATTCCGCATTTTCCGAATTATTTTTGTCGGAAAATGAAAGTAGTGTGAGTGCGCACCTGCGGCCAGTCTAGAGGGGAGGTGGCCCTCTGGATGATCTCCTTGATGGACTTCTGTCTCGACATGGGGTCCTCGCGCCACACGTACACGGGCTGGGTGTAGTTGATGAGCTCTGCAAGAGAAGCTTCATGTAGCGGGGAGCAAGGTGGGCAGCGTATGGCAGCACAAATGGAAAGGTGGGGCGCAGCGTTATGTCAACGAATTAATTACGCAAGTTGCGAGCAATTATTTGAAAAGAGCTAGGCTACGGCACGGTATAGAATTGCAAACAAATGTCATTTAAAAAATAA